CTCAGCAGGGCAGGCGCTGCCCTTTCAGCCAAGCACAGAGTGACCTTTTCTGCCCATCCCTGACCTGTCCTGAGCACAGCCACTCGCCAGGAGCCTCTTGCCCTGTGGAGGATTTCCCTTTTCTCTCTTTGCTGGGACACGTGCCACCTCTGTGAATCCCTCTTGCCCAAGCTCTGCTGCTCTGCAGTTTCCCTTTCTGCCAAATCTGCTGAGCTGTGCTGCTCCTGGGGAGCTGGGGCTCAGTTGCCCTGTGGCAACCTCCTCCATGTGGGGCCAGGCCAGGGAGGCTGCCAAAGCCAAACCATTGCTGTGCAACACGGGCTGTGTGCCCTGTCCTGATCTCAGCCAGATTGTGACACTCCCAAACTCGCCCTGGCCACGCTGCTCTGCACTGCTGTCATCTCTTGGGGCTGCTGGGTCTGGGCTGGCACAGCTCTGGAGAGCTCTAGGACACAGGTGAGCTGCTTTTTGCCCAGGTTTGGTGTTTTTTTGGTGTTTTTTTGGTGTTTTTTTGGTGTTTTTTTGGTGTTTTTTTGGTGGGTGTTTGGTGGGTGTTTGGTGGGTGTTTGGTGGGTGTTTGGTGGGTGTTTGGTGGGTGTTTGGTGTTTTTTTGGTGGGTGTTTGGTGGGTGTTTGGTGGGTGTTTGGTGGGTTTTTGGTGGGTTTTTGGTGGGTGGGAAGGGGTGCCCCAGCCCTGGTGGGTGTCCCAGGCTGGCTGTACCAGTGTCACAGTGTCACAAACACACAGAGCTCGTCACTCTGTGCTTGTGACCCTGGCAGTGAGCACCGTTTGGGGGAATGGAGGGGTCTGGCTCTTTGGGGCTGTTARAGATGTGAGTTCCTCCCTCTCACCCCATTTCACGTGTGCTGTGGCACTGCTGATCCCTCCTGGCTTTAGCCTGGCTAAAGAACCTCTCCCTGATCCGGGATGTGCTCTCAGCCCAACAGGGGAGGAACAGCAAATCCCTGCTGTGGAGGCAGCTCTGGAGCAGGGAAGGCACTGGGGAGGGTGTTTTTGGGGAATTTCTGACGTGCTGCCAGGTTAGCCAGAACTCTGGGAGCTCAGTGGCTCCTTTTGTGTTCATCCTCCTTTGCAGGTTGAACATTCAGCCCAGGAAAATGAACCAAGTTCTCCTTTTGCCTTTCCACAAGGTGATGCAAACATGAGCAAACCTGCAGTGTGTTTTTAGTCTCATTTATTGGAACTGTCTGGGATCCTTTGGTGCTGTAAGCACGCCAGTGACCACGTGCAGTACATGTATTTTCTTTTCTTCTCTTGAGGTGTGTTCCAGGCTGAAATCTCTAGGGCAGGGCTCTGATTCATTGTCTGTAGAGCGCCCAGAACCTGTGAGCTGTTGGAAGGTTTGGCCTCTTATCTGCAGAAGTTTACTGAATTAATATTATGGGAACAAACTAAAGCCACACTGAACTGCCTTGAAGAAACAGATTTACAGTAGAACTGGATCAGGAATGAAGGGATTTTGGATCCTTCAGGTTGTTGGTGCCCTGATGGGTGTCCTGTAGGTGCAGAGCAGGACCTGGAGGAGCCTGAGTTTCTGAACTGCAGARAAAAGCTGGACATTAACTCTGCTCTGCCTGTGCAATATTTTACTAACAGAGCTGTGCTCTCCCTATTTAACAGCAGGGAGTTTGCCTTCCATTTAAATGGCTTTGCTGTCCYCTGCCTTGATCTGTTTGCAGCACACAGTTGTTTTGGGGTGTTCCTCTAGTGTGACAAACTGCTCTGAACTGCTAAATGGAAGGGAGSTCTCATTCCCACTGAAAACAGCAGKRAATACTTTTCTCTGAGACACCCTTAGGATTTCATTCCCCAGTTTTTAAGGTTGACAATAGAACTGAAAATAGCATGGGAACAGAGCTGAGCATGGTGGGGATGAGCCTGTGTTGGTAAAGCAGAGCAGAGTTGCAGCAAGCCTGAGCTGTTGATAAGATAGATAAAAGCACTTTCGGTGTTTACATTTGTGCTTAGACCTGCAGCAGCTGAAAGCTTTAGAAGCAGCTCATTCCCTGGCATATCTTTTCATTTCTGGCTGCCTGTGTCTCATGTCACGCTGCCCAGGGCATTAATCCACCAATTTAACAGGATGAGCTTTCCCGTCTCTCTCTCTCCTGCTGCAGGAAACTGCCTGTATTGTCTTGTGCATGAAGAGGCTTCTCTTTTCCAAAAACGAGGGCGTAATTGTGTTCCTGACTGCAGGGCAAGGTGCCACWGTGATTTGTGGAGCCAGGAGCAGCAGAGGCAGCTGTGAGCAGGAGATATTGCCTTGCCCTGACAAGGAGCTGTGCTGCTCTTTCTTGGCATGTGGAGCTCGGTGCCTGGCCTGCTCTCACTCTCACTCTCACCAACCCCTTCATTTCAGCCTTTTTCCTTTATTTTCTCTTTATTCTAGCTGTTGTCTTTCATCTGCTGGAAGGAGTTGTGACTCTGGAGCAGACACTGGGGCTGTGCTGCCCTTCCTTGGCGTGTGGAGCTCGGTACCTGCTCTCATTCTCACTCTCACCAACCCCTTCATTTCAGCCTTTTTCCTTTATTTCCCCTTTTCTCTCTATTCTAGCTATTATCTTTCATCTGCTGGAAGTGGCCCTGACTCTGGAGCAGACACTGGGGCTGTGCTGCCCTTGGTGTGTGGAGCTTGGTACCTGCCCTGCTCTCACTCTCACCAACCCCTTCATTTCTGCCTTTTTCCTTTCTTTCCCCTTTTCTCTCTATTCTAGCTGTTATTTTTCATCTGCTGGAAGGAGCTGTGACTCTGGAGCAGACACTGGGGCTGTGCTGCCCTTGGTGTGTGGAGCTTGGTACCTGCCCTGCTCTCTGCTCTCACTCTCACCAACCCCTTCATTTCTGCCTTTTTCCTTTCTTTCCCCTTTTCTCTCTATTCTAGCTGTTATTTTTCATCTGCTGGAAGGACTGTAACTCTGGAGCAGACCCTGGGGCTGTGCTGTCCATGTGCTCCAGGATTCCCTGCTGTCTCTCTCCGGGTGATTCCCTTCCTGCTGCTGCAGCCTCACAGAAATCTCATCAAGCTTATGTTGGCAAAAGGCAAAAAGCCGTAATGAAGGAGGCATTGTGTGGTTAATGAAGAGCACAATTGTGTTCCCTCACTTCTCTGGAGTGTTTTGTGCTTCAAAGAGCTCTGCTCCTGCAGCTTTGCTTTGCTTTGGTTCTTGTTTGCTGTGCTGTGTTCTCACATGTACTGCACAGGAAATCTCTGCCTCTCCTCCCTCTGCCAATGTTTTGTTCCCTTATCCTAATCAAAATTCCAGCAGCTGAATTTGCCTATGCAAATTCCAAACTTCCACGTGTGCCTTGCCAGTCCCTTGTTGACAGCTTTTGTCCCTGTGCCTCGGGCCCTGGGATCTCACCTGGTGTGTTTTGGTTCAGCCTGAGCAAACAGCTCACACCAAAGCTTTTTCAAAATTATTGCTTTGGGTCAGCATTAAGGTGCCTGTCGCAGGGAAGCTCAGCTAATGTGTCTGTTTTGGCTTGTTTTGGCATCCTTTGGTTTGGGATGCTGCTGTTCCGTGGGTACCCTGAGGGGCTGGAAGTGCCTGTGAGTCAGGGAAATGCAGAGAGGGCAGCTCAATCCTGCCTGGTGGGATGGTGAAGCACTGGAACCCAGAACTGCCCTCCCTCCCTCCTTCCTCAGCTGTTCCTTGCTTGTTCTCACTGCCCACATTGATTTGGTTTGATGTTTGTTTGACTGATAATGATTGGGTTATTTAAATGGCATCTCCATTGAGATGCCCAACATGATTTGTTTGAAATTGCTGCACTGCACCCTCAGCATTGCGATGGGACTCTTAAAGAATCTCAGGATTTTCCTCTCCATCCATGATTTTAAAAAGTGAGCAAGGAAAGAAAAAGTAGTCTCGCCTCTTGTGACTTAAGAATTGAGATTTAGCTCACTGCTCYGATACCTTGGACTAGGAGTAAAAACCTGTAGGGAGGCTGCTGAATTGATCCCTAACCCAGAACATCCGTGAGCCTTCCCTGTTCACCTTCTTGCTGCAGCCTTGCTGATGTCCAGTAATCTTATTTTTAAASCAGATCTGATTCACGCTGTGTTTTCTGTGCCAGATGAGGTCCTTGCTTGTGAGTAAGTGCTGTGACTGTAGCTGGCAGGAGCGCTGCATGATTGCCTCACTTCAGGAAATGTTAAAATAACACTTTTTTTTCTTAGAAAGCTCGTTTGCACCCCTCCCACTTCTAAATCTCCTAATAGCTGCCCCCAGTTTGGCAGCTGTSTGACAGAGGGCTGTTTGTGTTGCTGAGTGAGAGCACAGACACTCGAGTGGATGGAGGAGAGGTGCACGGAGCGAGCGAGGATCGCCAGCCAAGCTGGCTTCAACCTCTCCGAGTTCCTCTGAAATCTGGAAGGAAAGCTGCTAAACTGTGAGAAGAATCTTGCTCCTCCCCCTGCACTCTGCAGCTCAAACGAGGGAGTTTTTTTCCCTCTTGGAGGAGAGAAGCTGCCCCAAGTGAAGCTGCTCGCCGAGACAGAGCAGGTTCATCATYTGCTGCAGGGGTGCTGGAATGAGTGACCCCAAAGCTGCACCCAGCAGCTCCTGGCTGCTCTTTGGGGCTTGCACTCAGCCCTCCCAGGTATTTAGGGCTTCATCTGAAGAGGATTCTCCCCCAAAACCTGCAGCAGGGGTGCTTTGGCAGCGCTCCGTGCAGCCCGTCCCTGCTGGGATGGAAACGCTTGTGGTTGGGATGAACAGATGAACTCTGTGCGTGTGGCACACGAGGCCGAACGTGCTAATGTTTAACTGGTCTCTTGTTTTTCTTTCCATCCGTTAGGCAATCCTGAGCAGAGCACATCTTGACAAAGTCTCCTGGCAACCCCTCTGGCGGGGCTGGATGACAGCAGGAGCCGCCAGGTGAACCTGAGCCCGCGAGGAGGCGAAACCAGGACRCGCCATGGGGCAGAAGGTCACGGGTGGGATAAAAACCGTGGACATGAGGGACCCCGTGTACAGACCCTTGAAACAGGAGCTGCAGGGGCTGGACTACAGCAAACCCACGCGGCTGGAGCTGCTGCTGGACATGCCCCCGGTGTCGCACGACGTGCAGCTGCTGCACTCGTGGAACAACGACGACCGCTCGCTCAACGTCTTCGTCAAGGAGGACGACAAGCTCATCTTCCACCGGCACCCGGTGGCGCAGAGCACGGACGCCATCCGGGGCAAGGTGGGCTACACGCGGGGGCTGCACGTGTGGCAGATCACCTGGGCCATGCGCCAGCGCGGCACCCACGCCGTGGTCGGGGTGGCCACGGCCGAGGCGCCCCTGCACTCRGTGGGCTACACCACCCTGGTGGGCAACAACCACGAGTCCTGGGGCTGGGACCTGGGGCGCAACAGACTCTACCACGATGGTAAAAACCAGCCCAGCAAAACCTACCCYGCCTTCCTGGAGCCCGACGAGACGTTCATCGTGCCCGACTCCTTCCTGGTGGTGCTGGACATGGACGATGGCACCCTGAGCTTCATCGTGGATGGGCAGTACATGGGGGTGGCTTTCCGAGGACTCAAAGGGAAAAAACTSTACCCGGTGGTGAGCGCGGTGTGGGGCCACTGTGAAATACGGATGTGCTACTTGAACGGGCTCGACCGTGAGTATGACAGGGCTGCTCCTGAACACGGGGCTGCTGATTCTGGGGAGGGTTTGAACCTTCCTGCAGGGTGAGGGATGGTGCCAATGGGGGAATTGCTGCTGCAGCTCTGAATCCTCYGTGCAAACACACAGAGTTTGTCCTGTGCTGTCCCCAAGGCACTGAGGGGCTGTGGGGATAATGTGTGTGCCAATTCTCCACCCAGAGATGGAGAACCTTGAATTGTCACCAAAGGAACATTCTGCTGACAGTRGCATTGCTGGCACTGGAATCTTGTGTTGCTTTACAGAAAACTGTCTGAGAGACAATCCCCTTCCTTAAATGGGTAATGAAGGGATGTTTGAAATCCTTGCAGGCAAGAATGGGAAAATCTGTCCCCATCTAAGAAAATGGGAATGTTTTTCATCTTTCAGAGARGCAGCTGGTGTCCCTGCCCCTTTCAGAGCAGGGTGTGCTCGTTTCCAGCGAGGGGCTGGATGCTGCACTCAGCCCAGCCTGCATGCCAGGCCTTTTACTAACAGGCACATCAATCTCTAGCTAAGCTTAGTAATAAATTTGGCTGTCCAAATGTGCTAAAGTCTGTTATCTCTCATAGTCAGAAGTTCCCATGGGGCCAGACTGTGACTCAGTCCTCTGGGTAGGGTGGAGGAGAGAGGTGAAGGAAGCGGATTAAAATCTGGATTTATGTTGTTAGTGAAATAAATTTGGCAGTATTGGTATGAAGAGTAGTTTCCCCTGCATTCCAGAGCAGTTCTGCCCAAAGGCTGCAGCATTTTGGGCTCTTGTGTTTGTGCTTGAGGTGTCCTGATGCTGGTGACCCCTGACCCTGGGGCACACCACAGCTGCCACCAGGGAAATTCAGAATAACCAGGAGAGCCCTGCGAAGGAGCAGGACCCAAATCTRCCAGGGCTTTGAGAAATGCACGTGAACTCTGCAGGACCAAACACAGAGCTCCTGGCTGGGCATTTTCTCACCCCAAGAAAGCCCAGCTCTCTCTGCCACAGCAGCCTAAAGAATGTCAGCAGCTYCAGGAACCAGGTTTTGCTGGAGGGTGGAAGCCAAAAGCTGCAGCTCCACTGCAATTTGTGGAACTGCTGGCACAGGAGTGCTCTCAGCGAGGAAACGCCACCTCCAGCTCTGCGTTTGGTTGTAAAGTGCTCTCAGCAGAGGAGTGAATGGTGGGCAGCAGGCCAGCACTGACGGGATGCTATTTTGGCACCCACAGAAAGAAGGTGTCTGGCTCTGAGCTCTCAATAGCAGCACTGTCCAGTGATTGTGGAGCTGGTGAATGGAACGGGGTCAGAAATGTGTGCGCTTTCCCTTTGCTCTCCTGTCACACCGGCGTATCAGTGCAAACTAGACACAGGCAAATGTTAATCTCACTGGAAGATCCTCTCCTTTTAAAGCCCTGAACTGGAGGGTATTTGTTGTGCTGACACCTCAAGGCTTTGAAGGTCAGGGGATTCTGGCTGAGCCCTGCTCTGTCCCAGCAGAGCCAGAGGAATTGGGGCAGACTCTCAATGCGCCCGGTTTGTGCCCTGGTGCTTTGGGAATAAAGTGCCCTGGCAAGTGCCAGAGGAGCTGTGCCAGCCCTGGGCCCCTCTGGCAGTGTCAGAGAGCCAAAGGAGCTGTCCCTGTGCAGGGCATCCCAAAATGGGGCAGGGCATCCCAAAATGGGGCAGGGACAGGGCTGGGGGCAGCTGTGTGTCCCTGTGACACGGAACAC